GATTTTGTAGGTGTCTCTGATACTTTACACCCCAGTTACCTCTTTTTCAGTTTTGGCCTCCTCAATACTCATACAGAAGCAAGACGCTACTTCAGCCCTGCTGCCCTTATCTGAACTTTTTGCAGTTATAATGTATCCTTTTCTGGATGAAGGGACCAGAAGTGCACATTTTCTTCCTCACACGCTGTAATGTTTTCAGCACTTCAGTGTTGCTACAAACAGTAGTAGAAACATGCACTTTCAGTTAATCGGCTTTCCAATTTAAAATTAAAGTAGAAGTATTGCTGGACTGAAGAAATCAATAATTATAACTCATGTGTTATTTATTAAAAGTAATTTAACATCAAGATCAGCAATAGGCCTATTTTAACAAGCAGACAGTAAGAAGAGGGTGTAACAAAAGCCATCCCCTCAAACTTTTAAAACACAGTTATCACTAGTACAGTTTTCAATTACAGAAAAATTATTTTCGCAGAAATACAATTTTATGTATCTATAATGTACTTTGAGGCAAGGACTCAGCAGATTTCTGTAGAATAAATACATCTTGGAGGAACATCTTAGGGCTATATTTGATATGCACATTTAAGTAACCACAAAACCCCCAAATGCTGTAGCTAACAATTATGCTTTGCTAATAAAAAGAGTGGGGAACCTATTTGGCTTTAAAGTACACATAAGTCTAACATCTGTGCAAGTTAACAGGCTGAAATTCTGAACCAGAAACAGGTACAATGATTAGAGCTAGGATGCAGAACACCAACCACTTAAGGTTTACATTCTCAACTGCCAAAAATGCACTTGTGTGCAGCTGTCATTTATACTTACTGTATGACTACCTCTTCTAGCCTCCCCTCTTACCATCATCTTTTCTTATCCATTCCTAGTCCCTTGTGTAATACATGTCCATGCACTTAAGAGTACTTGATCCTTATTCATGTCAAAACAACATTTGCACAAGTCAAGTGATACTAATGAACTGTAACTCTACTTTCCACCTCACTCAGCTTCCTGTTTTTCCAACCCTGTATTTAAAGAATTCCTGTCACCTACACTCAAACATCATGTCTTTTACATTTGTTCAGCGAGGGCTTTCTAATCCTAAAGAATTAGGGTAAATATCTGAAGGGGTGACAGGCAAACTTTCACTGCTGATTGGTGGGATGCTATCATTTTTAGACATAGAAGGTTTTGAGAGCATGTTGTCTATGGGACGCGCACTTTCCTGAATTGCAAAATTCTAAAAAGTAAGCCTATATCACCCTACAGGGAAACGATCTGTTACTCCTCAAAGAAGGCTGTGGTGCCAAAAGAAGCTCCAGTGTGCTGTGTATTCAGAAAGCCTCAGCTTGAAGACATTGATCTTTTCAGTTATATGCATCTCATCTGTGATCTCAAAAATGATAGACAACATTTTAACAAAGCATCTTGATACTCAGAAACCTCACTTCCTTTTTATCTTGGTTAGTAGAACTCCTGTGGCAGAGATGGTTCTAGCTGCACTGGTGGATACTCTTTCAGGGCATAGCCTGGCAAACAGCTTTGAAGGGAATGTGCTGCTGACGCCTCCCTCTTTCCTCCAGCTTCTTGTTCCTACTCTGGCACTGGGCATTCACCTATGCTGGCACCTCATTTGTGCAGCTACGTTGCAAACCAGATCAAAGAATGGATCCAAGTACAAATAACTCCATCAGAATTTTTTTTTTTTTTAAATTCAGAGCAGTCCCTCGATGGCAGCCACCAAGAAACTGCACAAATCTTTGTGCTGGCATGGCAAAGGGAAAACCTGTTACTACAGCCTTAAGACTGGCGAAAAGCACAGCCAATGCTACTTGCCACTTATCATTGTTCACACTCTAAAGACATACTACAGATGTTAATTAGCATTCCTCTCAAAGCCTGTACAAGACAGTCTGCCAGAGGCTGTAATTCAAGAAGTTAGACATTTCTAAGACTCTAAGGGATGCACATCTAGCCAGTATGTACAATATAACATGCACATGCAAATATCATCAGTTGCAACATCATATGAATCAGGTAATGACAACAAAGTGAAAGATTCCATCCAACTCTTTGTCACAAAATAAAAAACTTTTCAGAATAACTCAAAGTGACATACCACTACAGTGACAGTCATCATGGTGAACGCCTGATTTTGATTAGAAATTAGTTGCCTATACTAAAATCACAAAACCAAACCAACACACTCCCCTCCCCCTTTCTCGAATCAGAAAAGTGAACCAATATGATACTGAACTTTGAATACTAATGTTTCCCAAGCAACACCGGAATGAAAACACCATCAGCCTTCAGGGCGCTCTTTAGCACAGGATTCAGCTGCACTCAGCCTATCAAGTATCGATTTCACCCCACCACCCAGTCAAACCACACAAAAAAGCATCTTAAACTCGGGCAAATGGAAGACAAGAGTATCTGATGAACTCCAAGCAAGGCATAGTTTCGGGATAGAAATAATACGCTTTAATACGTTTAACCGCCACAGTGGGATCC